GGGCCTTATATTTCTATGAACAAGAATCAGGATTGGACTATAAGGCTGCAATCTTGTGAACAATTATATGGGATAAATGTCACTGAACAATGGAGATAAACATCAATCTTATTACATTGTTCTCTTAGAAATATGTCACTACTGTGAGTTTAATATTTATGAATGTATAATTATCAGTTGGATCTCATTTAGAAGAGCACAACTCCACCTTGCTACTGTCACCACCTGAACTCATTTTAAAGATTTGAAAAATTGTTAGATTTCAGCTCATTATAAAACAAAATTCGGTTAAGAGCCCTCTGCAATCTGATTTATGCCAGCCTGATTTCATGATGTCAATGCCTACTCTCCATTAAAAAAGTTACTCAAAGTACTTGCCCTCTCAAGAAGAGATAAGGAAATATGGAAATTAGAACCAAGGTCAGTATGCCTTTAACATGCTTTGAAATACGGAACCACACATAGCAACATGTATAGAACTAGCTGCTCTGAAATAGGGCATAATCTACTAATTGGGCACTTCAGAAGAGAACAAATGATACCTCTTAGCAGTTCTGAGGTATGCTTATAATAAAATAACATTTTCTAATACAAAAAACATAAGGATCCTCCATGCTCATTTCCACAACTGCTGGAGTTCATTGTTCTTACCTTTGAAGAAAATTCAAGGAAACAACTGCAAAAAGTAGGAGATACCATTTGCAAATGGATATGTAAAAAGCAAAGGTTTACTCATCATTGTGCTTGTGCTCCACAGAATCAAGGATGTTTCCAGCGGGTTGCAGAAACTTGTCTAACACAGTTATCTTTAGCAATACTCATCTGAAGGAATGCTAGTAGCCCCTTTCCCTCTATGTTTTCTGCTGCCAAATGAATGCCTCTCTCTCAGGCAGTTGTGGTTTCTGCTGAGAAGTGCGAGATTCTTGCTTTTATACTATTTAGTTTAAGGCTTTTATGCCTACTACCTTGAATTCTAAAATGCAGCAGCTACTCATACTTTTTACACATAAGTAACAGGATGATAGTTGACACGTTTTAGTTCTGCAGTGACTTTCCTTCCATCATATGCATTGGTTACTGGGAGAAATGGGAAACTAAAACATCATATATGCAACCATTTACTTTGTGGGAACTTTACCAAAACGTATGGAACTGTTCAGAGCTACCTTAAAATTAGTAGTTTTTAGAATGACTATGAACATTCTCCTAACCTATAATAAATAGGCATGGTGCAGATTTGTGCATCTAGAGAATTTTAAAAGAAACAGCTTGCACAAGTAGGGCCATGTAACATACATCATTGTTTTTTTCTGATATGAGCTTCATACCAGATAGTTATGATGCTAATAGCTATCGCAGAATGGCAATCATGTATAAACCAGCCCCTAGTCCAATACATTTCAGCAGAATTTCTTTCCAGGTGGATGTACACACAACTCCAATTGCGATCCACCTATAAATCAATAAACCCTTTAATTCAGAGCAATTAAATTCAAAACCAATATAGTTCCATGTTTACTAACATCACCAAATGTGAAGTGAGAAATTTATTTTAGATTAGCTTCTTTAAATGCTGTTTACCCACCTGATTCCTATCCTATCTAGTCTTTTCATTACATCAGATTTAATAAACCTATATGCAGAATAAGCCAGGTAAAATTTAAGGGTTGTATCCAATTAGCCCCTCCTGATGGAAGATTGAATGAGAACAGGAAGGAGGGCACTTCCTTCTACCCTGGCAAACTTCCTGTCCTGCATGCCCGCAGAAACTGCTAGGGAGTTTTGGGGGATCCTCTGGAACATACCTGAAAGTGGTAAAGACTGTAGGAGTGGGAGAGGAGGGGGAAGTCCAGTCATGCAAATGGATTTCATGTAAAAAAGAAATCCTAGATTTTAGAGCTTTTTTCCATCAGGATCAACAGCTAATGCAAATCTCTTACAACAGCAAATTCAATCATAAAGTTATGCGTGTCCTCAAATGTCAAGGCAATAACTTTTGTAAGCGCATAACTAGTTCAGAATGCATAACTGCCTAGAAAAGCTTTCCAGCAGCTTGCTTTCCTCTACTTCCTTTGGCAGAGTTGGACTGCAATCCCGTGCATAGCTGCTTGGGAGCAGGCTCCAAGAAACACAACAGGGGTGTTCCAAGTACACCAGGTCTGAACTATTATTGTGGACAGCCACACCTCCAACTTCTACAGGGGAAGAGGCTTCTAAGTTGCAGACCAGGAAAGTGGCTATAAGACAGGTGGCTCCTGATAGGGGCTCAATGTGAATCTCTGAAATTACCACAGAACAAGCTCCTTAAACATATAGGTTTCTTTTGGCCTTGCCACCTAGCAACCAAAACTATCTCATTAAGAAAAGTGCCTTCTGCTCAAAACACTATTAAACAACTGATCAAAGAGGACCAGAAGTCTCAAAGCCCTTCTCCCTACCCTTTTGACCTCTTACAGGAAAAAAATGTCATAGGAATAGTAAGCTGTTTTAAATCAAGTCAGACTATGGGTCCATTTAGCTCACTATTATCTACACAGATTGGCAGCAGCTTCTCAGTATTTCAGAGAGCAGTCTTTGCCCTACCTGCCAAATGCTTGGGATTGAACTTGGACCTTTTTGCATACCGAGCAAGTGTTCTATTCACTCAAATCAAGTTACTTGAATTCCATCTACTTTGTATCTTCAGACTGTCTCCAGCTTTTCTCTCCTATATCTATGTCTGATCACTACAATTCAGATACTGGTATCCTGAAAAGATATGAAAACCACAAGGAAAATATTGCAAGAATGGAATGTGCAATTATGTCTTCTTATTTCATGAAGTCAACTCAAGATTAAATATAATCTTTTCTAATTAATCCACAACCCTGCCCAGTAATATATTGCACATGGCTTACTGACAATCTAACAACATTTTTAGAAGCCGCAGAAAATAAACTCCTGTAAAAAAACTACAGCTGCTACTGAATGCCTGCTATTAAACATTCAACTGGATAGGACTGCCCTATCTGGCTGGGACATGCTGGGATTTGTAGGACTTTTTTCTACATGTGCACAGGATTGAACTCCAAAATGATGAAAATCAGACAGCTGTATTATTTATAAGCAACTAGTATAACCTGAAGGCTTTATATGATAACAGTCATAGTCTTCCACAGTAGAAGACTGTCATTGCACAGTATGGCAATCATGCCTCAGTTTAATATGCCAAATTATACACAAACCATTTGCCAGTTCATGCAGTCCCTCTGTGGTTCATCTTCCTAATGAATCACACTTTCTCATTTAACCCAAGCAGCAAACAATGGTTTGTAGAATCTTACACCACCATCTAAAGCTGGATTAAAATCCTAGTTGTTCTAAAGGTAAGAAGTGCCATTTCCTGGTTCAGACAAAACAGAACATTTGGCTAGAGATTTCCTAGCATTGTTGTACACCACAAAGGAAAAACCTAACAACATGCATGTGTGGACAAGGCTTGTTCATATCTCAGTTTAGTAAGTCATCCAAATTTGACCAGGGCTTTGTTTCACTAATACTAAGATATAAACTGTATGTTGTAAGTATGTTGGCAATGGTGTATTTACACCTTAAAAGCAAAAATCAGACCTGAGAAGCAGCAAGTTTGAATGGAGGTAGAAGGGTTATTTTAAAATTTTCTTGTAAAATGTTTTTCAACTATAGGTCACTCTAGTGCCACCTCCCCTGCACAGAACTGCAACTGCTTGTTTACTCTCATCCATCGTACGCACACATTTGGAAACTGACTCTCAGCCTAACCTGCCTCACAGGGTTGTTGTGAGAATAAAATGGAGTGGAAGATTATGTAAGCTGCCTTATTTATTTCCCACCTTTTTCCTGAAAGAAATGCAACAAATTAATACAGAAATAAATGCAGAAGGAAATTATCTTAAAGGATCACAATTTTGAGATGAGAACTATGGGAAAGGTTAAGCAGCATATTTCCCTTCTACTTCTGTGTTCAAAGAAGTACACCCACCCCTTCTGTCCCATCCTTTTTCTAACCTCACCTTATACATTTTCCCCCTTTTGTGCTGCAGTTCGCAGCTAAGTTATTCTGTTAATATAAAAAGAATTTGTCAGACTAATTCTTTCTAGCCCAAGGCCAAAATAAAGTTGTTTAAATCACTGTTTTCTTTTTCAACAGGTCTGTAAACTTTAACGCTAAAAGAGCGCACGGCATCTCCCGTTACAAAACTCATAAGGTTGCCGAAGGCAACCCACTATACTCTAATTCTTAATCCCCCCCAATCCTTTGTCATATGGAAACAATACAGCTGGCTTGCTGTGCAACAAAAGTATTTCAAGTATTCGATATCAGATTGATCCAGATAATATAACTATCCATCCAACCTACAGACTTCAATAGCAGGCAACTTAATTGTCATCCCCCGCCTACAACTATGCAAGTACATGTAACACTGTTTATTCACTCGCAGCCCTTGTCTCTGCCACATTTACCTTCCCGACTGTAGAATTTCGACTGTAAGCTCCTTGGAGGCAGAGGGGTTCGTGGGTGCGAGTGCATGTGAATGTCTTACGAAATCCTGTAAAGCACTCTGTATGTCGAAAGCGCTGCATAACTACAGCAACAAATAACCCCACCCAGACCTGCAATAAATCCTTTTAAATCCCTCACTGCTCTAACCGTTCACCTAATTCTCTCCAGCCTGAACCTCTGCCCCCTCCCCCAGTGGTTTCTTCTTTCTACCACACCCTTTATCTTTACAGAAAGCGTCTTCTCGCTATACAGCCACAATTTCATTCTCACAAGCGGTATCCCCCCCCCACCCCCCGCCACCAATTGCTGCGCTCCCCCACCTCCATTTGGTCATCCCCTCACGCGCCCCACTAACCGCTAGAGTCAACTCCACCAGCAGACCCCTCCCCAGGGGAGAGAAACCCCCGCGTCGCCTAGCAACCCCCTCTGTCTCGAGGCGGCGGGGGTGCGTCGCAGACTCCTAGGACCCCCTCCCTACCTGGCCACCGACGGCTTTGTCCATGACTCCAGCAGCGCGAGCGCACCGGGCCGGGGGAGGCGGCGCTACTCCTACTAAGGCTCAGAAGGGGCGGCAGGCCGCTTTCCCCATGGCTCCTTCTTCCTCGCTGACAGGCTTCCGCTCACACCCAGCGCGGCGGCGTCGATTCCGCGGCAGCTGACCTGGCTCCCGAACAAGACCCGGCTACGCCACCAGCGTCGGCTGGCGATGAAGGAGGCAGCCGAGGAGAGAAGCGGGTGGGGGGCCTCGTCGGGGACGGATCATCTGGGACGGAAGCCGACGGGGGCCGTCCTGCGCATAAAGCGTTGGTTTAAAACGCCCTCCCCTGAGCCGAGCCTCCCGCCCACCTTCGCCGTCGTCGCCTAGCAACGAGGGGCCTGTGAGATTCGCTCGGAGGGCCGCGGCCAACGAACTTGGCTTGCCTGGAGCCTGAGCTAGAGCACCTCAGTTTTTCGGGTGGGGAGACGCGGCTCCGTACACACAAACACACACGCCCCGCTCCTGGGAGGAAGGCCCAGTCGTAGACGTGCAGAGGGATGGCCCTGCGGGGCGGCCCTAAAGCAAGCTGTGCTGGAGCGGCGTTCAGGGGAACCAAAGTTGCAATCCGGTACGGACTTACGTGGAAGTAAGCCCCATTGAACTCAGCGGGACTTACCTCTGAGTAGGAATGTACGAACCCTCGCCCTAGTTGGTTAGGCGGCTATCCTTCTACAACCCGGGCAAAGTACCGGGAGAAAGTTTTTTTCTTAGAAGAGAAAAGGAAAAAACTAGGGCTGCAAAGTTGATTCCTCAATCCTAAATGTGTCTACTCGGAAGTAAGTCCAGTTGAGTTCGACGAGGTTTACTTCCTCCTGGTAAGTGAGTGTGACATACCAGCCATAGTTAGAGAAATGAATTGGAAGAGCAGATTTTATTTTAATTACGAATTATTTATATGTATTTATGAATTGAGTAGATTTCTATCCCATGTTCAACTTGCTGTACATGATTCCATGCATTTTTTAATCCTCAGAACAATCCCGCTAGGCAAGTTATGCCGAGAGAGGTGGACTGGCCCAGGTGAATTTCATAGCAGAGCCTGAAGTGCCTGATCTTGCCTAATCTTGGAAGCTAAGCAGGGTCAGGCCTGGCTGAAATCTGCATGGGTCACTTAAAATGATGTTGGACCTCCCAGAGAGCTTTGGCTACGGGCAGTATAGAAATGTAATGTGTTAATAATAATCGTAAGTGGGGATTTTAGCTCAGCCCTTCAAGCATAATTCCATGGCTGTTACATGACAGGAGAGGTTAGGAAATATCTTTTCTGCAATGGTGATACACGTACTTTGTTACAATTTTCCCGTGAGTGTTTGGATTATATTTCTACACACAACACACACAGCTTTAAAAATAAAATCTATGCAAAGTGTGGGAGGGCTGTGAGGTTGTTTCACAGTTTCCCCATAAATGTTTTTAAAAATACTGTATATTTCTACTATATTACCTGTCAAACAACTGTTTGATCCCTATGTAACTTGACACAACCAGTTAATCATAGCTCATACAATGAATCAACAAAGGTATCTTTAATCTAGTGATTGCCCTTCTTTTAACATTTTATATTTTTAATGTCTAATTTTAATTTTTGTTCCTGTCGCTTTATGAAATCAATGCTTTAGTCCCAAATGGGCACACTTCTGTGGAAATAAGTTCTAGTGATTTCAGTAGCACCATCATGGGTAAATTAAGGCCAGTCACCACTTTGCCAGTGCACATAATACATTTCTGATTATTACTTATTATTTCTTCATCACCATAAATGTAAATAATGCTTTGCCAACTAACATAATCAAGCAATGAATGATAGCTCCTTGAACTTAACCTAAATCTCCATTATTATTTTTTTGCTTTTATAGCCCACCTTTTTTCTTCTTGAGAGGAACCTAAGGTGGCTTTCACAGTCTTCTTTTCCATGTTTATGCTCACAACAACTCTGACATCCAGTGCTGTGGGGTGATTGGCATGTTGTACTGGAGACCTGATGGATCTGTGTTCTAGAGCCCACTCAACCATGAAGCTCGCCAGGTGGCTGTAGGCCAGTCACTTAGCCCCAGTCTAACATAGAATCATAGAATAGTATAATTGGAAGGGGCCATGAAGGCCATCGAGTACTACTCCCTCCTGCTGCAGGACACCAAGTTACACCATCCCACTCAGATGGCTGTCCAGTTTCTTTCTGAATGTCTCTAGTGTGGGAGAGCCCACCACCTCTCTAGGCAGCTGGTTCCACATTAGTATTGCTCTGACAGTGAGGAAATTTCTCCTGATGTCCAGCCTGAATCTGGGTTGCTGCAACTTGAACTGATTATTTCGTGTCCTACACTCTTGCGTCTGCAAGAGGAGACCTTGACCTTCCTCTTTGTCACAATCTTAGAGGTACTTATACAGGGATATCAGGTCCCCCTTCAGTCTTCTCTTCTCAAAGCTGAACATTCCCAGTTCTCTCAGTCTCTCCTCACAGGGCAGTGTTTCCAAACCCTGGATCATTTTTGTTGCCCTCCGCTGGACCCTTTCTAATTTACCTGCATCTTTCTTAAATCTTGACACAGTATTCCAGGTAAGGTCTGACTAGTGAGGAGTAAAGAGGAACTACTACTTCTCGTGATTTGGAAGTAATACTTATGTTAATGTATCGCAAAATAGCATTTACCCCTTTTGACAGCTGCATCACATTGTTGGCTCATGTTTAGTCTATTGTCCAGAATTACTCCAAGATCTTTTTCTTGTTCAGTTCTGTTGTGCCTTGCTTCACAGGGCTTTTGTTGTGAGGCTAAAATAGAGTTAGGCAAACTTGCTTGGGTTCCTTACATGAGGAAGAAGGTGGCGGACGATGTAATAATAATAGCCTGAGAAACAGTGACCAGCCCAGCATCACAGGGAGCCTCATGAATTATGAGAGTGTTGAACTAGAATGTTCTAGTCCCTAACTGCTATGCCACATTTTTTCTATTTAGGAGGCAAGCAAGTGAGGGGAGGGGAGATAAGGGGAACAGAAGGAGAGAGTGGTGGAATAGAAGATGAGATAATAAGGTAAAGGCAAAAGCAGGTACTCTTTTGTACTTGGCTTTTTCCTACTGAATATTAAATAGTTGAGCCTAATATTTCATGGAAAAGTTGGGTTATTGTGATCACAGATTCATGCTTTAATAGTGAAACATGGAAGTCATTTATTCCCAGTTGAATATATTTCAGTAAACAGTACTTTCAGTTATTACATTGGAAAGGACAAAATGAATTCATAATCATTTTAAAAACATATCATTGGTTTTTTTCTTTCCCTAGCAGCTTCTTCCACCTCCACCCACTAATTGCACACCAACATATTAAAACTGGAGGCAAAATTCATTGAAGTTTTAAGTGATTTTTTCAAAGATAAGTTGGAGAAATCCCATAACTCCAAATGAAGGCACCTTGTATTACAGTGGTTTTACTGTCTGCTGACTGTCCCTGGGCCAAGAATAGCCTATGTTTATAGAATCTACTGCTCCATTCATGCTGCATTAAGACCTTATTTGGTATGGGCTGACCTAGATCACTTGCTTAAAGTTACCCTCACTAATGGGTCTGTTATTGATAAGCTAAGTCACTTGTCAAATCAAGTTTTAAAATTAGAAAGCAAGACTAAGATCTGCATACCAACCAATGACCAATCAGCTAGTATAATGCTTAACCACACTGATCAAAATTACTTTGTAGGAAATGGAGGACAATATGGAGTGAGTCATCTCCTGTCAATTACTTCTCTCAGAGGCTATATTTATGATTCTGTATAGATAACGCTAACCTAGAGCATGTGGATGCGCTTGTTGACCTAGTTTGTTGCATTGCTCTATTCTTATGAGAAACCTGTTTCTTTTGCAAGTACCTTCAACACTGAGTTGTGAATATTTACAAATAAGCAGGTCCATATTCAGAAAGGGAATGCAGTTTATAGAAGGTAAGATTTGACTGGATACCATCTATTAAGGCTAGAATTAAAACTCAAACTTCCAGGTTTTAAAACTGGCATGTTTTCCATTAGATTAGTTGTTGCAAACAGTTTAAATGCTAGAAGAGGAAACTTGAGAGTATTATGGCCATTATTGCTTTTCTTAGCTGACCATAAGTAGAACCCAAAGTGCTTATCCAAATAATATATTTGTTATGGATAGCTTTGGTAGAATCTTAATAGTTCAACAGAAGGTCTTAAATATTAAAAAATAAAAAATATTTTAAACTGTATTTTATTTGCCTCAGATACTGACTTAAAACAGTCCCCAAAAATGATTGAAAATTGTTCACTAGCTAACACTGTCTTAAAGTTTTAATTGTCCTATGATGATACTTGAATATTATTTTAGAAAGGACTGCATCTTACCAAAATTGTGACAACTTCACCAATACTGACCACATGTTGGGGAGGGAGACCCGTGCTGTCCTTCAACAGATCATCAGCACAGTTAAATAAATCTCATCCCACTTGCCTGTTCTCTGCAGATTGCTTCCTCCCAGCACTTCTTTATAGAATAGAAGCAGCCATTGGGGTTTTAAGACATAGAATAACAGTGGATTGTGTAGCTCCACCCTCAGCAGTCTTGGGGGTTTTTTTCAAGCACAACAAAGAAGCTAAAATACCACTTTGAGTATACATGAAAAACTAGAAAGGCCAGTTGCCCAGAAAGTCACTTTGGACAGAGTCCCAGTCACAATCCCTATTTTTATCAAAGTTGTTTCTGAGAATAGAAAACATAGGTATTCAGGAACAAACCCCCCAAAACATTTTCCAACCCTAAAAAAGCTCTCCACAGCAGTGCACGTTAATGAAACAGAAGAATATCAACCAGTTTGAGGATAAACTAGTACAAAGTCACACACTTAGTGGCCCTATGAATTGGAATGTTTATCCAATACAAAGTGTTGGAAATCAAGCAGTGAGTTTCAATGTACATCTAACGGAGACGCCCATTCCTGAAGTCCCCATTTTTCTTCAGTCTTCATTTTGTTAGGTATACTTTCCAGTCTTGGATACAAGTCTAAATAGATGCAACAGTATCTCTTCCATTCAGAACTAGAAAAATAAAGTGAGTAATTAAGGGCTGTCACAGAGCTGAGAGAGAAGAATCAATAAGTATGCAGGAAATTAAGAACAGAAAAGAATGAAGGAATTGGGTATATTTTACATAGTGAAGACACTATTATGGTGAGTAATTATGACAGCTTTATATTTAATAATGTCAAAATGAAAAGGAAGAGTTGTTTGCAAATCTATCAATGGG